GACTCCAAACTTTTGAACGGTAGTGTATATTGTAACACAAGATTTCCATTTTGAATAAATGCTGTTTTTTTTTTTTTTCAATTTTATATTCATTCAAGGGGAAGTCGTGGCCTAATGGTTAGAGAGTTGGACTTGTAATCCAAGGGTTGTGGGTTCAAGTCTCGTACCGGCAGGGATTGTAGGTGGGGGGAGTGAATGTACAGCGCTCTCTCCCACCTTCAATACCACGACTGAGGTGCCCAATACAGCTTTGCATCACAGGAATAAATTATATTTTAAAGTATATTAAAATAGAAATTGTTATTTTAAATTGCAATAATATTTCACAAAATGACAGGGTTTTTTCTGTATTTTTGATCAAATAAATACAGCCTTGATGAGCACAAGAAACGTCGGTAAAAAATATAAAAAATCTTACTGATCCCAAACTTTTGAACGGTAGTGTATATTTATGTTCTGAAATTCACATTTGTAAATGTGTAAATATTTTACATTTGCAACCTTACAAATCTTAATGACATCAATTTAACATTAAATTCATTTATTTCCTATACGCTCAGTTGCCCTTTAAGATATCCAAAAATACAGTCAGCAACGTAATGTAACCATAAATCAGAACATAATTTCATGACTTCGGTGCTTTTCAAATCTAAACGGCTCTGGGAAGCAAGCCAGAAAATTTAAATCTGCCTTCATGAGGAAAGAAACTTATATTTGGTCCACAACTTCTAACAAATCAAATCACTACATAGAATGATCATTTAATTATAATAGAAAGCAAAAATTGCATGTATCAATCTACCCTTATTTAATTTATTTTTTTCAACAAACCTCAGAGCTCTGAAGCCAAAATACATGAAGAGCTCTTTCCCCAGTGTCTCCACCCCTGTAAACTCACAGCCCATAAAGCACTGGAAAGAGCTGCTGGTGCTGTCATCTGACTGAAAAGGAAATAAAACAAGTAAACATTCGTATGTATGTCATTTACGGAAGACTGCTATATCATCAGGTGAGCTTTCATGC